CACATTCAAATGCTGTACTTTAGTTTTTAATTTTAATAAAGCATTACTATTTCCTACTCCAAGGCATTACTTTTGAGATTATTATATATTTTTGAAAATATAGCATAATGATAATACTAGTTATTGTAAACTGTACAAACCACCCAGCAGAATATAAAGTCAAATTATAAATACAAGTAAATAACAACTGCAGAACAGAATGTCAGTGTAATGAACACACACTTCGTTTTGACAAAGCACAGCTTAGGTAAATGATCTGAGTAGTTGTTCATCACTGAGCAATTTGTTAATGTGTGTTTCGAGCCAAATAAATGACAGGGAGAGAGAGTGACGTCAGAACACGTCATACTACAACCTCCCGGGAGCGGACGGAGGGTGTCAGTCGTTAGGATGCGCATGCGCAGACAGAGTGCGCGAGCGGCGGGCCTTGACTTTCGGGGGAAAAAACTCATGGACTATTAAAAAATATATATATTACTGTTTAAAACACTAATGTGACATGTATTAGTAGTGATGTTGTGCTGAGGGTTAAAATGCCTTTTTGTAACTACAGAATGACAATAAACCATTAATATATGTCTATGCTGAGCTCGTGTTTATTTTGCCCTACTCAGATTCAATTTATGATGCATTTTATTTTGAAAGATTTAAAATGTTTTTTTTAAAGAACCATTTTTAAAAAGGTTCTTTGGAAAAACCATTAAAGGTGCCCCAAAGAACCATTTCTTGATGGTTGTTTGGGGCACCTTTAAATGTTCTTCAATGAACCACTGAAAGAAATGGTTCTTCAAAGAACCATTGTTTGAAAGGTTCTTTGTTGCACCAAAAAAGGTTCTTCTATGGCATCAGTCTAAAGAACCACTTTTGGTTCCAGTTGGCACCTTTTTTTTCTGAGTGCAGTGCAACACCACTGAAATACACACCACATATGGCTCCCTACACACACACAGACACACACACAGCTGCTGGATCATCAGCCGTGGAAATCCAGCCTGTGCGGCCACAGATAAACCGTGGGTGACTCAGCGCACCGTTCAGACCGGCAGGAGCAGCAGGAGCTGCGCTTGCAGTTGTGCCCTGGCAGATCCTAAAACGACTAATCTGAGAGAATGCTCTTAATCCGATTTGGACTTTCTGCCACGGCTGCAGCAGATTTCAGGATTGGAACTATTACCTGGCCCATTGCACCATTTAAGAAATGTTATTGTGACACAGATAAACAAATTGACTGGTTACGGGGAACGTAAAGAGGTCAAGAGTAGGCAGGGACATTTGTAGGAAGGGGTGAGAGGACAGGAAGTGAGAACCGGCCGATAAGAGCCGTGAGAAATTCCCCAAGAAGTTTAAAACTGATTCAGAATGAACGATGTCAGCTGTGGAAAAAATCCCTCTGTTGGTCTTGAATCTTTTATTACACGGGCAATTTTTTATCATCCCGGAGTGATATAACTGGCAGGATACAGTAGTGTGTTATGAAAGGAGGCAGATGGACAAAGAGGAGGGCAACAGGAGAGAGGAGGCGACAACAGGTGTGTGTCAGGACGCTCACATTAAACACAGCATCACAAAAACATCATGTAAAAACTCGCTTTCTCATCATAATCACATTCGGGTTTTTAGTGAAGTTGTATTGTGATGGTTTCTTTTCATTGTCCAGTAAGCAGTGCTCTCTATAATGGTTATTCTGGGCACAGTGTTTATGTCTGATCAGTGAAGTTATTATCGGGTACCTCAAACATGTGAGCGCAGGGCTGTGTAACTTCATGCAGAACTGTCAGGTTTACTGGCGCCGGCATTTAAAACTCTTCATACATGTTTGGTTTATAATCAAAAAAGGCTTTCATGAAGGTGAGATTGTATTTCTGTTGTTTTAGTGTATTTTTTAGTATTTCTGTCAATTTTTATTATTACTAGCAAAGCCCTACATGCTGCTTTGGTGTTAGGCCCGGATCTATATGCAGGTAAACTGGCCAGAAAAACACTGATTGTGATTACATAATACATTTGTTAGATACCATATTGTCACCAATATAAATATGCAAAATGAAGAATATGTTAAAATTAAAATCAGATTTAATATTCATACTGTTGTTGTTATCCTCATATTGTTCTCATCATATTTTCCAGACTTTAAGCATTTTTGTAGCTGGTTATTTGATCATCAGACACTCAGATTACAAATTTGCATCGACTGTTACAATATGTTGTGTAACGAATGTAGCACACACTCAACTTCAACAAACGTCCACATTTGTAAAGTCACCGATTAGACGATTATCGGATTTATATCAAATATTCTGTCACATGGATGTGAGCGCTCACGGTGCCCTAACCAAGGTTTATGTAAGGTTTCATCAGGATTGATGGAAAACACAAACATGCACACACCCATGTGATACAATCATTATAGTCTTAGTTTTATCATAAATACTAATAACACAAGTGCTCTTAATGCACATTTAAGATAATCCAGCGCTGTATGCAATAATACAGTGATGAAGACGACCCCACCTCCTGTAATTTACACCTATGGCTGTACTGTGATGATGTCACATATCAAGAGCTTGAGGAGGCAGTGGGTGGGGGTGTGACGCCACTCCTCCACGCTGCACCCACAGGGTAAGGGTTTGAAGGGTTCGATCCTGTGAGGAACGGCGTGATGACACGCCACTCCAGATTTGGTTTTATCTTTGAAATTCTCTTTGTCTTAATCTCTGCTTCCTCACATCTGCTGGAAGAATCAGAACTCCTGCTGCTGGAAAACAACACGGTGTTATCTCTCGTTGCTTCTGTTCTTTAGGAAACCTTATCGAATGCAGACTGCAGAGCACACCGATTGAGGAGGTGCAGTTCTCTCTCTACAACAGTCTCACTGAAATTCTCCCAAATATTAAGTGGGGAAACGTTGCACCCCTCACATCCATTACTGGTTTCTTTCCCACCATCAGATCAGCTGAGCTTATCATTGCTACTGTTTCCATCAGTGGCTCAAGCAGCTTTCTTTTAATTAGAAATAGATTTGTACCTGGGGCTAAACGCTCACGTGGGTGACATCTCTTCAGCAATCACTCTCTGCGTCGCTTATGTCCTTCACAGTGGGGGTAAAAAATCACACCCCTGATCAAGGTGCATTAAAAGCCTGGAAAGAATATTACGCCAGTGCAGAGCAGAGCGTAGTGCACATACATCGGCTGAGGCTGGGGCCGGGATTGGATGTGTGGGAGACGGAGGGAAACCTGGACGCTCCCATGACATTCCCCAAACCTGTACAGGTTATTTAGTTTGATGCGACCCCAAAATGAAAGAATGTGCCTCAAACATTCATTGAAAACATCGAATGTGTGAATCCACAAAGAATATTGGAGAAAAATGAAAGGTTTTCACACAAAAGGGACATTACGCCCTTAATGATGCGCTCAGTTCTGCAGTATTAATTCCCCACTGGCTCTGGCTGTACAGCTGAAATTCTGCAGAGTGTTATGCAGCTGACATTGTGTCATCATTGATCTGGTCGCTGTTAAGCTGCGTTGACACCTGTGCGAATCCATTGGACATGGACCCAGGGAAAGCAATCTAGCACGGCCACACAAGCTCCTTACTTTATCCAAGTGAGGAAACAGAAAAAAGAAGTGTTGAACTGCAAAATAGCTGTACGTGTAGCAGCGCGGGGGCAACAGATAACACGTAAACCTGCTGTTTTACAAAACAGACCCCCATTAATATGCATATATATGAATAAACAGCAAGAAATCTTAATGAATATTTACAGAGAGGCTCTAAAAAGCCTGTAAACGCTTTAATCGGTTCAATCTTTAGCGTAGGCAGCAGAAATCCTAAAAGCAGTTTCAGATGATTACAGGCAGGATGCTCGTAACGCACTGGCAGCAGATCCTTTTTTCTTTTTTGCTTCTTTACAAAAATAAAAGAAATTGCAAATGAAATCGTGACATGCTTTGGCAATAAAACGAGTTATAGATTTAACCTGTTTCAGATCTAAAGTAACATGGAGTCAGGTTTAGAAATGGGATTACTTTCACGCATGATCTTTAAACACCAATACACTGAGACGGGGGGGGGGTCATTCCACCTATTAGTTCAGTGGCACTGATATACCTCTAAAACAGTTAAAACAGCGCCTCTGTCCTGTAGCCATCTGTCATCAAACATCCCCCTCGTGTGCACACATTTATCTGGGAATGGCACATTAACCACCCATTTTCTTCCTGTCTCTGCGAGGATCGTCTTTACTGATAATGGCCAAAGATTATGCACATTCATTACCATTATCGTTAGAATCATCATTATCACGCGCTTTCAGCTGATTTTCTGGAGGTTTTTCTGTAGCACGGTTTGAAAGTGAAAAACAGCTTCTTAATATTAATGTTTTATTCAGTCAGATCAAACTAACCTGCTGGTGCTGTTTTCTCTTTTTTTAAAAACACAAAAAAACAGGAAAAATTGTTTATTGATTTCTTCTCCATCTCAGTCATCTGTGTTGATTTGACCACTTCTGCATTGTTAGCTGTGTTAGGTTAAAATCACGTCAGCCCAAAAGCTGCTGAGTGACTAAGTGCTTTCTCCACACGATCTGGGACTCTCTCTCTCTCTGGTTAATTAAGTAGTAATCAGGTGTGGTGTCTTTACTGCTGATGATAACTGTGCTACCTTTAGAGCCGTGGGGACACAAACTGGGTAATGGAAAAGATTGCTTCAGGTGAAGGAGGATTATTTACAGGATTACCTCTTAAGTCAAAATCAAAACCACAGAGCCAAAGAGAGACAAAGTAGAAAGGAAAAGGCAGATGTAGGAGGTGAATCCTGACGGTGGTTGCCTTAAACAACAATATTCCCCCAGGATTAATGCACAATGCATGGGACACACAACAAGTCCTTTCCTAATTAACTATTGTCTCCTTTAAATAATCCAGGAAGTCTAACAACACAATCTCTCTACACAGGTAGACTCGCATAAATAAAGTCACATTCGAGCGCTTGCTTACCTGGATGTGTGAAGATGTTTCTCACAGTCTTTGCCTTCTGTGGCTACTGCAGAGTTTGGGTGGCTCAGCTCGTATCCTTAGGCTCGGGGTTTCAACAACTGAGTGCATGCCTCCTCTGAGGCTTCTTATAATGGCACACCCCTTCCCTCCTGGCTCAGCCCTCCAGTTCCCCCTCACCTCCCTCCCTTCTCCTGTATATCACCACTCGCATCACCGTAGAGAGCTAGAGAAAGGGGTGGATTCCCCCATTCAGTTACGCACAAACCCCCAGCCATACACACAAACGGTTGGCCCGCGCTGACGCAGGAGGTATTGCCTACGACACCAATTTCATCTTCATCGAGCCAACTGATGAGGCTCTAAAAATATGCATCATCATAAGATTTATCCAGAAGCTCCATATCTAAGGTGTCCATAAAGCCCACGGCCTCGACACCAGCTTCCTGCCGAGGTCAGGGAGACGACGGCACTTTGGATGATTTTTTGACTATGACTTAGAAAAGCAGCGTCACGGATGGAGGGAGAAGGTCACAGGTCGATAAAGTTGTTTAAGCTGGAAAAGAGTAACATAACAAGCCTTTTGTTGGTGGCAGTGGGGCCTTGAACAGTATATTATTTTATGGAACAATGACCAGGGTAAGGCAGTCGACAGGCAGGGCGTGCAGCCAATCAGGGCCTAGAGACAGGTATGAGTCATGGCAGGTATTTGGGGCTGGAGCAGGGGGTTGAAGGTTTGTCCCACGGTGCTGAGAGCTTTCTTTTTTCCCTTTTAATTTATGTCGTGTGTTTTGATAAGGTGATAATGATGTCGACAGAAAGAAGAACAATAACATAAAAAGACTGAAACTGGGAAAATTCAATATTGTGGCTGATCTGAAGCAGACGATGTGGCCAGAGGTGACTGGCTGTACTAAAATTGTCCATGGAGCTCCACTGGGTGGGTGTGGTGTGACAGGTTTAAGTTACTCTCCCATTAAACTGACCCACACACTGTAATTTGAAAAAAAAAGTGGTTTGAAGTAAATATTAACTTCCAAGAAGAAGAAGAAGAAGAAGATGGTTCCAGTGGGAATTCTAATAATGTGATGCTGTGCATGGAATGCTGATAATGTTTACCATGTAATGGTTTAACATAAAGACATTTAGCTGTGGCAAATTACAATGACATTTGTTTTGCAAATGTTTGCCTAGCAAACCAATTTTGATCTGATCCTGGTGTCGGATAGAAAGTTACTGAATCATGTCTGAGTCCCTGCCTTCAAAGAGAGTGACAGGAAACTGTGCGCCAAGAAGATGTAATAATAACAATAATCGCTAATCGCTATGCTAGCTATAGACAAGATAGGATGGATATATTCTCAGGATCAATACTGTGGTTCACACAGGACCGCTCCTAGACTCACGTTTCCATTTGCAGTAATGTGTAGGTGTTCTTGGTTCTCCTCTCCCATCCATGGGCAGATGTATAGGCACGGGAAGCACCAGCAAGACCCCAGGAGGTGGGAGGAGCTGGGGCAGAGGTGGGTTACAAAGTGGCTTGCAGATGTGCACAGACTGTGTGCAGGCTAAATCAACTGAAATAATATGAGATATATGTATATCCTGTGTGAGGCATCACTTTGTGAGTTTGTGTTTACTCCGTAATGAAAGTCATCTTGTTGAATGCACTTAGGCCAGAGGGGCCGATATGGCAGCCTCGCTTCTGTCTGCCCCAGGGCAGCTGTGGCTGCAACTGTAGCTGCCTCCACCAGTGTGTGAATGTGAGAGTGAATGAATAGTGGCATTGTAAAGCGCTTTGAGGGTCTCAAAAAGCGCTGTATAAATGCAATCCGTTATTATTATTATTACTTAGGTTCAGGCTCAACGTCGGTCTTTAGCAAAGAGTAAATAATGGGACGTTCCACTCTCACAGCAGTGATCACCTGGCCATGATGAATGTGCAAAGCATATTTTGTGATAATCCATCAAATTGCTGTTGAGATATTTCACCAACTCTGACTTTTGATGGACAGAGGAGGGGCCACCAAAGTCAGGTAGGTTAATCCATCCTGTAACTGTTAGTGCTTCATTCTGGTTATATGTTATGTTTTCTACTGGTAAGACAAATTCCCAGGGCTGTTTTAAATAGTGGGGCCAAATGTTAGAGTTCAGTAGCAGCTGATTATGAACACAATAATTTTGTCTATAAATACACTTCATTGAAGAAAATGACTTTTTTCTTCTTTTTCTGAAGTTCAACACCTGAACTTCCTTTCACGTTGAGCTGCTCTTAGCCTCAGCTTCCTTTGAAAATGTGAAGGCTGACTCTGAACCTGTGTGAGGTCTGATAGTGATGGATGAATTGGGTCTATAGACAGAGCCCTGGGTTAGACTGAGATAAGGAGCCTGGAAGAGCAAGCAGCCTTTTGCAGGGTCTGTCTGTCATTGATATCGTTGTGATCCACCAGCTGTTCAGTGCACATAAACGCCTCCTGTGGTGGCCAAGAAGCAGCGATTACCTTGATGACAAAGCAGGCCAAGCTTGGCACCACATCACATTAAAACCTTAGAAGTCTCTTCTATGTATTGATTTTGATTTGGAAATTTGAAGCCAGTAAAATGAAGCGATATAGGATTTCATCTTCCGCGGTGTGTTTGTCCTCTCATGTACACTGCTGTGCTTTTTGAAGCTCTTTTTTTAATTCACATTGTCTACAAAATAAATTATTAATTTGTACATACTATTATTTCCTCAGATGATGTTGTCATGGTCCTGGGTCGTTGACCCAGCGTTTTGTGTTTTGTGACTATTTCCCTCTGTTCTAGTTATTCTGTGTCCTCCCCCCTTGTGTCCGGTTCGGGTTCTAGATTTCCTGTTTTACTTTGTAGGTCTGTGTCTCGTTATGCCCATTAAGTTCCAGCTGTGTCCCCTCCTGTGTGCCATTTCCTCTTTACCTTGTGTGTGTATTTATAGTTGGTGTCTGCCTGTGCTCCTGGTCGGCTCGTCTGCGTTCCTCCGTGTAGCTCTGCATTCTATGGTGTTTCGTTCCTGTCTCTGCGTCTCTCTGCCCCGCACCCCTTTTGTATGGTCTCAGGTTTGTCTTTAGTTTCTCCCAGTTTAGGTTTGTAATTGCTCATGTTGAGTTGCCTGTTTTTGCCACCACCTTGTAAATAAACATCACTCTGTCATCAGTTCGCTGCATCTTGGGTCCTCCTTTTCCTCCACACCACACGGCTCCCTCCGCCAGCCGTGACAGATGTGATGTATGCAGTATTTCTGATTTGGAGTAGAGCCAAGTCAGCTCCAGTACTGAAAGAAACCAATTTTATCACTTATTAAACAACAAGGATTAGGAACATAAATAACCCTCCTTAGAAATTGGTTATTGGTGTGGAAACAGCCATAGCTTAGCATTGAAGCTATATACAGTACAGTATAATACAGTATATGGGAGTGATTCGTGCAATAAGAGTTGGTTGTTTTATGATGAGTTGCAATGAGATATTGATTGATTGATGTCCACATGCACTCATCATGGGCATGAATGTGGTGATAATTTGGGGCTTTTAATGTTTTCTTTGCACTGTTCTTTTTCCACAATGATTGTACAGCATCTTTAATGACTTTTTACTGTTGACCCCCCCCCACACAGAGTCGAGGGCTCACCATCCACCGGAAACTGCTGGAAAAACTAACATCAAGTTTTACACCACCAGGGAATGAGCTGGCCATGAAGAAGCCACTGCTCCAGAACTGACACCTTCAAGCTTGACTGACATTGACAGCTGCCCACATGAACAAGACAAAGACCTTCCTGAGAAAAGCTTTATAGTCACACAAGCAAATATTAATCAATTTGGCCACAATGACAATAAGTATGTTTCGAGGCTTTCGAACATAAGAACACGCTACCAACTGTCAGGCATGGAGGTGGTAGCATCATGCTCTGCAGCTGGTTTGCTGTCAGTGGTGCTGGTACACTGCACAGGATGGTTGGAATAATGAAGAAGGAGCACAATCTCCGAAATCTTCACCTCAAGTCACCAGCTAGACAACTGAAGACACAGTTGTTCCTACAGGACAGCGATCGCAAACACACATCAAAACTGGATGTGGCCTGGATAAAGCAGGCATAAACGAAGCTTCTGGAATGGTTTTCCTTAAGCCCTGACCTCAAACCTACTGATGTTTGTGGATTATAGTGAGCTCTGTGCCAGGAAACCACGTCCAATAATTCTTCTATTCCCGAAGGTTGTCGTTCGCAGCCAAAATAAATACACTTTGTTTTTTTAAAATAACAAAACATCATCATCACCTCCCAACCCGAGCTTATAAATGTTCACATAAAATGCATTTGTTTTCATTAGGACAAACATTCACTTTCAATTCCTGCACAAGAGCACGTTCAGATGACTTCTTCGAACACCGAGGGAAATACTCGGTGTTAAAAAGGCCAGATGGCGTTAATAACTCCCAAAAGACTCTCACAGACAGAACCAAGGCCACCACAGGCCAAAGTCACTAAAAGCACAAAGAAAATGTGGCGTGAGCATACTTCATGAAGCACTGAGAAACATTTCACCCACCAGGGTGAAAGGTCAAAGTCTACAAATACACACTTTTGGAGCCAGCCTCAGGTGGCCGTTAGAGGATCTGCAGTTTTTGGCTGTAGCACGCTTCACGTGTCTGAACCAAAATACTTTGACCTACAGCAATTTGAGGAAAAAGAAATGACCTCGGTGTCACCCCAGTACAAATAATGGTCTCCACCTGGACACCCCTGTCAAAAATGTCTGGCTTCGTCACTGATAGCTGTGGCCAGAGCTGACCGATGTATGGCTCGTTCATCTCAAGTCAAGCTCCTCCTTCCTTTTTCATCTCATCCAGCGGAGGTGTTTTACCGTCCTCCTTTGCAATGAAACTCAATGATGTGAAACCAAAGGAGGGGGGAACTCTGGGGTGGTTTATGGCAACTCGAGGTTTTCACCTGTCAAGGCACAACTGATTGTTATTAACAGCAGGCCGGAAAATGAATTTTTGCCTGGAAAAGAATTGCATTTCCACCCCAAAAGCCATCGTAATTTTGTGCGGAAGAAGAATTACATCTCAGCTCAGGAAAAATGTGCAGTGTCAACCACCAAATCCTCAGAAAACTTTTATTTCGGGGCGTAAGCATTCACGAGGACATATTTCATTTGTTTGTCTGTATTTATCTCATTGCATAACTCCATCCAGATCACTTTGTTTCAGTCCTGCACAGCTACAAAAGGAGTATTTGAAACCAAGCAAGTGTTCTTTCCTCACGGCCACTATATGCAATCAGCCCAGTGCCAGTAGAAAGACATTTGCTTTACGCAATAAAGACATGAGGATGATGGCAGACGTTTCAATGAAAGGCTGGCTTACGGAGGAGGGAAACCATTATTTGTCAGAGTGACGGCTGTGAAATTGAGTACGGGAAGCTGAGAAGATGTTTACCGATGTTTACTCTTCATGTGGGGAAGCTCGGGATAGACCTCGGGATTAAATTCAAGGGTTTTGACCTCAATCAAGGAAATAATTACTCTTGCCCCTCTGGTTGGTGGACTGCTTAATTAGCAAGCAAAGCCCCCACAGAAATTCCATTAGAGTGAAAGCAGAGGTGATTAAAACTATAATTCTTATTAGACTCATTAGTACCTTTTTGGGGATGCCTGGCATTATTGAATGTGCTGGGAAATTGAATTCATGATGCTTTGTGTGGATTCAGCACGCCCTGTACGGTGTCTTCATCCAGCTATGTAACAAAACAAGTCATATGACAATAGAATAAAGGGCAGAAGTGAAGTGTGACTCACTCCAACTTGCTCAAGTTATGAAGAGTATTCATGATTGGCATCACTGATAAAAGCTATGGATCGCATACACATGCACTTCTGAGCTGCTCTTTTCTTTCACTGTGTGCTTCATTGCAGTGAATCACTATGCTTCCTATTATATTCTCCCCAAAGAACAAAATGCACACACACACCTGCTGTTATCTGTCATCACCACAGTTGCCATGCCTCCGCCAAAAACAGTCGATACTGATGTAGCACCCACTCACTCTACAAGAGTGTATAGGTGTGTGTTTTGTTCACAGGCTCTTTTGTGATTAAATGGAACTGCAGCAAAAAGGGAAGTTTGGTACTTTTGGGGCACTTTTGTTGTTTTTTGGGCAAATTAAATAGGTTGATTACAAAACTGTCCTAATAGACTATTCAGATTCCTCTCTTTAGTAATGTATTCTCAGCACTTCCATCACATTTGTATTTTTTTAACAAAATGCCTTTCGGTACTGAAAAGCAAGGACTGACAAATAGGTGCAAAACACTTCCGGTCAGGCTTTACTTTTCATTCTCTCTCTGAGCAATTAAAAGCACTAAGAGGGGAAAGGTTTCTGTCATAGTAAATGCACATGCAAGCTGGCAACGTATCAAAACGTAGAAGGGAAAAACAGCAGAAACCCAAAATAGTCCCAGAGAGAGCCAAAGTACCGGATGGCACATCTAGGAAAACGCAGTCATTGTGATGGAAACCTACGAAACAGTAGACACTGGAAACAGGAGGGCAAAGGAACACAGCTGAAACTAATCAGTACAATAAATGAGACAGGAAGTTAAGCTCAAAGCGAGACACCTGCGGTGTACAAAGAAGCAACGACTTACTCAAGCTTAAAATCAGTTTTCTGTCTCACAAAAGTGACTCTTGTTTTAACTGGTGACATCGCAATGGGAACTTGGAGATCCTAAACACAGCTAGCTTAATCAGAATTCTGTAATTTATGTAAGTGCGTTGCAGATTCTCTGCTGGGGGAATTTGTTTTAAAAGTGCAAGTTGTTAAGGTTTGTCTTACTAAAACCAATGAATTAAGCACAACTGGTACATGACATGGTCACAGGAATATGCTTGTATTGACTTGGTGATGCAGAAAATGCGTAAATGCTGTTATCCTCTAATCTGCTGCAAAGTCTCCTTCACATTGCTACTAAACACAAAGAGTACCTGTTCAGGGCAGGGGTCGGCAACAAGCGGCTCTTTAGTCCTCATAGTGCGGCTCCGCGTGGTTTGGGAAAATAACTTAGAAGTATTTAGCTGAAGTGTAATTTGATTATGTATGTTTTTTTTTTTTTACTTGTACTTCTAAATTGGAAGATTATTGTGATAGGGCCTAAATAAATATAAAAATAAAATTATATTCTATTATTTTTTTCATCGCTCAAAATAAGCGTCACACTCGCGGAAGCCGGTGCATCGAGACTTTCAGCCCCAGGTAGGCCAGTTATGGATCTTCGGATCCACATTATGTCAGCAGCTCCACCGTGAACTATGTTAAAAACAAACACGCTCACGCCTCACAGACGACAGCTTACAGTCCTGTAAAGATGAAGTGACTTCGTACAGCCCCGACCTGCAGACGCTGTGCGCAGAGGTTCAGGAGCAGAAGTCCCGTTGTAAACATATCACGGCAGACCCGACGATGTTTGCATGAACACGCTTTTCAGCATCTCTTTATTGACCACTTTTCACACACGGCTGCTGTGCGCACACAGCCGGCTGTAGCTTTGCAGCTCACAGCCCGACACACACCAAAACAACAGCAGAGAGAGCACAGACGTTAAGGCGGCGAGGCGTGATTGCGGGTGCCGCTCAGGTGCGTCCGCCTCCCCTGCAGCGGCGCTGCAGACCACGCCCCGCCACACCCATTAACCAGGTAAAATACATATTTAGGCAGAATTTTGCAAATATCTATTTTTCTTTCTTTTTTTTTTTAGCAGCATAGAGCTTTTTTCCAATTATTTTTTTTAAAAGTCAGGTCAAGGCTCCAAAAGCCCAAAGGCGATATGAGGGGGGCGGCTCACAGCAGGTTTTGTTTGCTGGGTCATTTTAGTTCAGCTTTCCTTTTGCTATATTTCTTTAAGAGATCAAAATGTGTTAATTACATAAATAAAATGTAATTTTCTCTGTAGCACTTCATGGATTTCATAAGCAACACACCTTAGTTGTTCACACAAAGCATAAAGGTAAAAAACAATATATACAGTGTTATCTTCATTTTAGATGTCAAAAAGTATCCCGGTGTTTTCTTTTGCGTGGAAACCGGCTCCAAATGGCTCTTTGGGTGCTAAAGGTTGCAGACCCCTGGCTCAGGGGATGTTAAACTGGTGGGCCATAGACCAGTAAACCTACATAATAAATGTATAAAATTATAGTTTTTGTTAATTTACTATAGATGTACTAATAGCAAACAAACAGCAACTTTCCTGTCATTTAACTGTTTATCTGTTATTTAATTCATAGGTGTAGTATGAATGGCAATGAGTGGGCAGTCTTTATCAACAGCAACTTGTAAAAATACAGTTAAAACTTCCAAATCTGCTTCACATTTTCTAAGGCTGTGGAATGGGCCAGATTGGAGTCTTCACTGGGCTCATTCTGGCCCCCAGACCTTATGTATGACACCCCTGGTTTAAGAACTTAAGTATTTGCACATTTCTTTCTATTCTTTGTAGATTTTTAATCACCATTTTATCATCACCATCTGAGAAAAAGTCAGGCTCTGATAATATTAAAATAATATAAACATACAGTCACAAGTCATACAGTTGTGACTTTATAACTGCTGATTTCTAATCAATAGCATAACCTGGTCTAGGGTGGGCTGGGCTCACAGCACAAACTACCATAAGAAACAAACCACCTTTGTATTACAGGAAACCCGGGCTTAACCTTTGGGACATATGCAGGGCCTCATTCCAGGAAGCAGGTTTAGTGAAGTTATCTCATCCTGGAAGGAGGGAAACTCTGGGTTTTCTGGTTCAGAAAGAGCTCCAGTCAGTTACCAGTCAGTTACCAGTCAGTTACCAGTCAGTTACCAAACAGCTACCAGGGTAACAGACTCTGTAAGCCTGACCTGGAATGCTGAATGGTTTTCTTCAGTAAACTTTGAGGTTTGTCTGACTCCTTCCTTCCTGTTGCACCAGAAGCAGCTGACTGACTGCTGGCTTCATTTCTTCACTCATGAAGTTCCTCTGAAAGCTCAGAGGGAATTCATTTTACTCAATCATTTACTAATCAGACTCAGAGCATAGACATTAATAACATCTGATTTATTATTCACTCAGAATAAATCGATATCTTTCTTATTCTGTGACTCTGTGGGCAGCAGCTGTCAGAACGTCATTCTTTTGCACAGGAAACGTTTAGTGTATGTTAGCGATTGCTGTTTAAATAAAACATACCTGCATAAAGCTTTAGACAACACCCTGTGTGATGATGACTTATGCCATGTTGTAATCGGTCACATAACCTCTGTCACACTTGGGATTTTGGAGTTCATGTGAATCTTTGAGGCTGAAACGATTTTCAGACTAAAACAGCATTTCATTTATTTTTAAGTTGCTTCTGAAATGCAGCCGCAGGCCGTCCGACGAGCTTCTCGACATTCTCAAAGATTGAGATTCAGTCATTAAACGATGCCCAACAACATTTTGAAATGGTGCATTTGTCCATTTGTGAGTTCTGTGCATACGACTTTGCCACACTGATACTGATAAGTTCTACCCACACTGACTTTGTTTGCTGTTTACAGATTTTGTTGGATCAAACACAAAGAACACCAGAACCGTATTTAAATGAGCTGTTTGTAACTGCTAACCGAATTTATTTTGCGTTTACACAGACAAATTCTTTTGTTGTTCGTTCAAATAAAAGCTCCATCTGGGCCTTCGTTTTCATTATTTACCAAAATAATGGTGTCCGTTTTTGACGTAACAAATTCCCTGTCTGAACTCCAACGTGGGCGGGGCTCGGACAATTCGAATCACATTACACGTCTCGGACTTGGCGCTCAACCAATCACAACGCGGTACTGAGGTTTCTTAGCCAATGACGATGCGTGTATAGGCAGAGCGGGACGTTCCGAAACTTAGACACGGAAGTTTGTGACGTTTTCGTCTGCGTTTCCTGTGTGTGTCATAAACAACAACAAAGAAACTCGTATTTGTTGAACATGGTTTCGTGTAAAGTGCCTCCAGTCGAATAAACGGAGGATTCAAGGCGTTCCGTCGCTCATAAAAGAAGCTGAAGTGTTCCGGGTAAGTTGGAAATCAAAGTAGGAAGAGCTTCGTGTTTCGATGCCCTTTTAAACCACAGACTGCGCCATGTTAAACGCGCCGTCGGTTACCACCTTCATACGGTCAGTCGGAAGCGTTATTGTCTGTAATACACGGTTCATGATTGTTCTTCAGTTAAGCTTTATTTTAAGATTTATTATGTTGACTCGTTACGAACCTGAACGTCAACTTGAGGTTAGTATTTTCTCCTGTCATAAGCTACGATATGGATAAATGTAACGCTTGCTTACTATATTAAAGCGCTGTTTACGGTGTGTATATATATTAATTGTATAACATTAATCTGTGTTTGTCAGGAGACACAGCAGCTTCCGGGAGAGATGGAGGAGCTCTACACCTTAGAGAGGGAGGTGGGACGAGGCAGTTACGGCGTGGTGTTTGAGGGCCGTATGGCCAAAACTGGACAGAAGGTGGCTATTAAGCGGCTGCCCTGCAGCAACCCAGAGTGTATTGAACTCTACTTGCAAGAGCTGTGGGCCATGAGAACCACAGCCAGGAACCACGTCAATGTCATTGCACTGCACAGCTGCCTCCTGCAGACGGGGTCCAGGAGCCTGAAGACCTTAAAACCAGGGAAACTGCCCCTGCGTCTGGTTGAGAGCGTGCTCAAAGGAAGTGTGGTCACAGCAAAGCAAAGTCAGGAAAGGACCAATCCTCAGTCTAACACCAGGAGGACAAACTCTGGCTTCAGACTGCAGGACATGACTAACACTGTGCAGGCCAGAGCTCATCTCCATAACAATGATGAATCAAATGCATCTGATTCCACAACCCCTCAAAGGCCTCAGAGCAGAGTCAGGAAGAGACCGGCCCCGAGGGAGGAAGAGCAGACTGCGCCGCTGCGCTGCTTGGCCCTGTGGCTCGTGATGGAGTACTGTGATGGAGGAGACTTGAATCAGTACCTGCTCTCCAGGCCCCCAGATGCTCAGCGTAACCACAGCGTGGTGCAACAGCTGTGCAGCGCCGTGGCCTTCCTACATAGCCTGGGAATCACCCACCGGGACCTGAAACCTGACAATGTGCTGGTGTGTGTGACACCAAAAGGCCCCGTCGTCAAGGTGGGCAGATGTGACGGTGTTTATCTCAGATCAAGTGGCGTCAAGCTTTGTTTGAAAAGTCACACTGTTCAAATTTGAAGGCACATTAGTGCTTAATAGTTCTGCTCTCTGAGGGGGTGTTTGCTTTTCACAGCAGCAGTCTGCTTGAGACGCAATTAACATAACAAAGTAAAATATGAAGAAAACAATTGGAAACAAAATTGCTCTACTGATCTCTTTATAGCTAAGCAATGAACACATTATATACAAAGCAGAGGGAAAATATTTATGGCACAGCAGTGCAGCCAGGAAGTGAGATTCTACTGAAAGTCAAATCACAGATC